TCAGCTAAAAAAATTCTCTCTGAAGGTTCATTACCACATTCTTCGAGGCCGCTTATCCTAATTCAAATGAATGAAATTCAAATACCTACACAATATTTCTTTCAGATCCATTTTAATGCCACAATTTTTTGTGTAACTCCTGTACTGGCCTGCCTTAATCTTTACAATTCTGAAAAAAAAACAGACAACACGAGAGCAGTTTCCGAAACATTTAATCGTTCTGCTTTCAGTAATTGTAAATTTTCTTATGAAACCGTTAAAACTTTTATTCTTGAAAGCGCTACTTAAGCCGTTATCCTGTGAAGGCTCAGCGATACAGAATATCGATACAATCAAGTGTGGTGGAAGTTTTTGAGAAGGAGTGTGAACAGTCATTTTCGTTAATGGCGGAACGTCTATGAAGATAAAGTCACTATCAGATGCTGGTTCAACCACTCAAGAAACCGCTATTGGTGAAAAGTCACAATTTTTTACTCATATTGGCCATAATTCACCTTCAAAATGGTCGTCCACAGGAATGGATTACGAACTCTAAAAAGCAGATAGGATAAGATGTATCCTTCCTATGCATTCTTTTCATATGTTTTACCAGACTCCTATACCGGTTATATTTGCTGTCATAATTTGGAATTACTTAACTCGATATTTCTCCTCGCCACTCCGTCCAGACAGGCTCTGGGACCGTCCCAGGGCTCTGCCCACTGGGTACTATTCGCCTTTCTTCCAACTGGCCTGGACTTTGTTAAGACAGGAACACGAAATACAACTTACAATATAATTTACATATAATTTAGACTGATCCTGCAAAGTTCATGATGCTACTGATGATTACATTATATCAATCTAAATTTTTAGTGTTACAGATTACGAAAATTGACGAATGGCAGAATGTCTTAATAACAGGAGATTACAGAAGTAAACTCAAAGTTCACAAAATGGGTCTCCCAAACACGAACAACAACGCGAGAGCAGAAATATTAATTCATAAGCAGTCACATCAAACATTCTTGATACACTCTCTAAATTAAATATATCAAAATAATAAAATTATGGTGCACAAATACCCCTTTTTGAGGATCCCCTCTCGCGTTACTTGCCGACATTCACCGCCAATTAGAATAATTTAAAACCTGAACCAGCAACACTTCGCCATGAGTTACCAAGCAACAGCGCCACACAATCGCAGAACAAATCATGAGAAATGGAAAAAAAAGGATTCGTTTTCAAAAACATTGTTTCTAACCCAGGGGGGTCAATTCGTTTCTACTGTAAGGGGAATAGACCAAAGAGGGTAAAACAGTTCATAAATTATAATATCGCAGTGAGGGGCACTTGAAATGCTGCGATAGTACGTCATATGTGAGAAGACCTTTCAGTAGAAGACTGTGCCTCTAAATAGAAAAAATGTTTTCCCCCTTAACCTTTATGATCTTTATTTTATCTCGTTTCATTTTATTTTACTTTACAGATGCGGACTTGGTAGGCAGAAGCCGAGGGGTGTCTTCAATGCCGTTGAATGGGGCCTGAATCAGGGGTATCAATTGTGAAATTTCGACGTCTGTTGGCATTTTGCTAAGAAGAAAAAAGATGAACTATCTCTGACCTTGGACATCACTAAAACAAAAGGACGGTTATTTCTTATGCTGTCAGTGGCGGAGCAATAATCTCAGGGTTTATGCAGTGGCGTATGACGGCTGTACTTGGTGTTGAATGGAACAGAGGTACTACCGGGAGTGGACAACATCGGCCCATCGATTCATAACACTGAACGTCTGGCAGTACTGAATCTTCTCCTCTCCATCCCAAGACAAAAGTCACCCCTAAAATTTTAACGAGCAGGTATGTCCACTGTTAACATATAAGACTTCTTTTTTGGAGGCACCCGGTTCGAATGTCAATTTAGTTACCTTCTATTTTGATCGATTTTTTCAGTGCTTTTACTCAAGCAAATTCCATATCCTCACCCCTTATTACAATCAGATATTATTTTAAATTTTTATAATATCTTATGGCTAAAGAATACCTTTCATAAATAACATGAGATGTATAAAATATTAATTAGCACAGACCAACTCTGATTTCATTCTTTTGAACATCTTTACCACGTTGTAAGGTTGTAACTGACTTGACACCCCTGAGATTCACGAGCGTATCAATCTATAGAGATATGGATCGTGGGAGGTATTGTAAGGCTACTACTGTTTACTCAACCACTAAATCTTATCAAAAACAAATCCAGCGCCATGAAATGTACTGGGAAAATGAGGTTAGATTTTTCGACACAAAACGAAAGATAAATCCTTGTAACGTGACGAAGATTAAGAGCACTGATAATATGAAGACATTAGAATGCAGACGACTTTTGCTTTCAGGTTATATAAAATTTACTGGGCCTTCACGTGACCTTGAAATTAATCTTACCGCACGCAGCTAAGATGTAAACGCTGAAAACTGCTTCTCATGCGACGTACAGCAGCGATAAACAAAACCATTGTGAGAATACGTAAGGCGTGTTCATGCGTGTCTGATATGACGCAGAGCGTGGTCATCTTCTACCGTAAGCATGAATTAAGTCAAGAGTCGATACCCGATTTTAATTAAATGTGATATTAGAAAATCTTATAAATATATAGAAACATTTCAATTTCTATAATAATCAACGAATTTTTACAACTTTCAATCACTTATTTAAGAACACGAACACTTCTATGAGCTTATCTGAAATATTTACGAAGCGATTCGAAGATGGCTGTCTTCTGGCAATGATGATGGGGGCAGTAAGGACCTCTGAAACGTCGGTAAACTTCTACAAGACTACCCGGCGCTACAACCCTGAAGACAGCCATCTTCAGACTAACCACCGTGAAAACCTCAAATCCTACTTACGAAGAAGTTTCAAGAAATGATTTTATAGCTTACACAGAACGTAAGTTTCAAAAATTAATTTTGGCCTTCTTCAATATCCATTTACAATAATATTAACAAAAATTGATCGTTATGATCAGACTTCAGGTCATGGACAGTTCAGTTCAATACTCGTTATGACAAAGCAAAAATTAACATATGTATGGATATTTCTCACCAGTCATATTTGTTTCCCAAAGGGTTCATGCTGCTAAGGGCAAAAATTCCATGTCTGGATTCCGTGAGTTGCGAGTTATAAATTAAAATAGAAGTAACAGTGCGCCACACAGAAGATAATAGGCTCGTATAAAACTCTTGTTAAACCTATTCTAGGACGTGATCAATGTCTTAAAGATTTAAATTAGGTAAATTAGAGGTTTCCTACTCGCTTGCGCCTATCAGGGTAGATTATCTGTTTACAGAAGGTGCAGTAGCATCAGTACTGCCAGGTTTCTGGTGTGATGTTTATGGCCTATAGCAAGGCACTGACTTGATCGTAGTACTGAAGTATAATAATCATGATTATCATCTATTCAGCATATCTGACGGATGTTACCTCTGAATCTTGTCTTCAATTCGGTTTCAGGGGGTAATATACTTGAAGGTGAATTATGTCAATAAAAGACGATAATTTAGTATGGTGCTTGTTTCGTTGAGTGAAAGTATGCAGATCACTAAAAGTCTGTTCCAATACAAAACCTGTATTAATAAAGTTTCATTTTTTTCAATAAGATCTCAATTATTTTAAACAGCGTTGTACTTTCTTCTATTGGTTCTGCCTTATCGTCCTTATTTCCTGAAACAAAACTTCTAAACTAATGTTCGATTCTTGATAACCTGAAATCTCCGATTCTGTCGTATAAAATTAACCTTACATTTTGGCAGGTCTGCAATGATTCCTGCATCAGAGTCATCGGTCATATCGCCAAGTCACAATGACGTGGAGTTAGCGGGTTACCACGCATGCGCAGAAGAGGCAGTGTTGTATCTAGTTAACACCGAGAAGTTAGCTCCGAGCGACCCAATTGTCGGTGGACTTGCACAACATCTGAAGAAACGCCAAGCCCATCTAGAATACCAACGCCTTCTGGATGTGATGGGGGGGAACAAATGCACGGCCACACAGAGATCTAGGCTTATACTGGCTGCTTACAAGGGTTGTGACTTACAGTACAGCTAGTAGCCCAGAAAAACGTCATAATTTGGACCCTTCAGCTTCTCAGATTTACGGTGGAAACAACAGGCAACATATGACCCTTTAAGAATATATTTCTCTTTAATTTTTAAGCATCTACTTAATATATATTTATACCTAGGTCGCATCTTGTAAATACTGTCCAAGAGTTTCGTCTGATTTACTTTCATAATGTTGCGAATCAATGGTGAAAATTTCAAGGCCCTATCTCGTATACTTTGATAAACATAAATTAATCTTTCATTTAAGAATATTTGTAAATGTACTTTCATGGATAGTTTATCATGTAGATTTTCTAGTCAATATTATGCTTAATTGTGCAACACTAAAGGAAGTTAATGCAATAAAAATCGAAATGATACTATTCACACTTTAATCATTACCACGAAGACATTAAAGTTGATATTCAATTATATATAAGACTAAGCTCCTGTCTTATCAATATTATTTAGGCACTGTCCATTATCCTATAAATAACTGGCAGTGGTAGATTAATTATACCAATATCATGTTTTTACAACGCCAAGTTATAGTCTCGCTTTAGTTAAGAAATATTTGTAATATCCTAGTCACTTCGGTGTTACGATTTTCAGTGACTCCAAGCTAATAACATCGATCAGTGTGCAACGTGATACATAGATGTGTTGGGTATACGTATCACAAACTAGTCAAAGGATAACAAAACAAATGCACGTGATTGTAACTAAATTTTATTAATATAGATTAAGTACATTTAAGTACACTTTGTTCTAGTCTACATAATAGTTTGATAGATAATAATCGCTTCCACATTTTAAATCAGTCAAGCAAAACACATAAAGGAAACAGAATTAAAAATTAAGTACTATTAATTTAAAAAATATTTATTCCTTTTGAATTATAAAATGATACAATATTATTATATGTATGTGAGACAATGCAAAACTACCACTACAGAAACTTAAATGTTTAGACACAAAATTGGTCCATGAAATATGATCTGTAGTTTATGGTATTTTTTGCAGAAATATTTATTTTAAGTGAATTGCAATATCTTAACATCTACTTAATCCTAGTTACTACAGAAATATACTGTAATACTGAAAATAATGTTTTCAATAAAAAGAGTAAGTCTTACTATTACTATGACTAAGTATTTCAAATGACTAGATTATTTTTCACACCAAACACGTCTTCCACCATTATAAACTTCCAGGACTCCAGAAATCCGATCGCACATCAGCCTCCATCCTGTTAACTTAGCCCGGTGCCTATTTTTACCCTTGGTATAATAATGAAAGTTTACTCATCAAACTATTTGCTATCCAGTGATTTATAATCGAGTGTAAAGGCAGGAAATATATTAAAGAATGAATGACTTTGGTTCTCTTGTACGTATTAATAATAATAAATATAGTAGAGCTGAGCTGTGCCCTACGCATCGCATCGTATAGTTAAAGAGGTTGTAGTATGTGATATGAAGTTGTCGAAGTACTTAAGAACTTTGTCGTTGATAAAGAAGGCAGTAATCCTATTAATTTTCATGTCATCCACGACTAGGCAAATTGTAGACGTACTTATAATATTGTTAATTGTATAATTTAAACAAATAACACGATAAGTTCTGTTCAAAAAGATTTGAGCGCGTTAATCATACTTGGGTCAAAATGTAGATTCCAGGGTGAATTACAGGTAAATTTGTAGTCGTTCACTTACATTTCGAGAACGAAAATGTTGCAAATTAAAATTTAACCTCCCACGCCTGCCTGGATATCTGGGAGCGCATCGCGATGCATATGTATTTTCATGCGTTTTACTACAGAAATCAAATCAAAATGTGCTATTAGATTCAAACACCAGATCACTTGGAAGTATAGGGAGATCATTATTTTGTAAAGAATCTTAAAATTATAGCAGACTTTCCATTTGAAATCCGCAATAAAATCGATCATATGTCTGAACTACACATTTATGGAATCTGCAGAAGGGGAGGACAGCATCAAATAATTGGCCAGAACCTGAGAACAGTCTATTGTGTTCCTACGGGAAGACAAATGAGCAGTAAGTTCCCGCACTGCAGGATGCTCTGGTCCCAAATGTTCCTCTTCCACGAGAAACCTCAGAGCTTCTTTGTGGCAGAATTCGTATCCAGCCAACACTATTTCGCGGTCATGGAAAGAGTTATTAGCTTCGCTGTAGTTTTCATCATCATCTTCATCATCAAAATCATCTTCCGAATCTGAGGATTGTCCTGAAACAGAAATAAAATTGCGTGATCAGAAATGTTTAACAATAATGTTATACCAACAGTAATGATTTATGATATGTACTGTTACTCTGAATATTTTATAAATAAAACAGAAGTATTGTGACTACTCTGGAGAACAACATTTGATTCACAATTTCACTAAATTATAATACTTTAAATCAAACTTACAAAACTGAAAGAAGTTACTTGTGGGAAAACACCTACTATACGTGCGACAGATAAATACTTGTGACGTAAGCGGCTTGGCGGAAAGTGATGTACGCATGCGTAACTCCCTATTCCTGACTAATAAACATTCCTCGTTAATACAAAGACATTTTTCACGTCGTTATTGCTTTCTGCTCTTACGTAACATCGTTATTTATTCATTTGTTTTGTCATTACTTAAAATTTTATAACTTACAGCGTTAATCGCATTACAATCAAAATTTACATTACATCATACAAAGCACGACGTTTTTCGGTCTGCTGTTAGTGCAGTACGTGACTTCCCGGGTCACATATGTCACAGGGACTCCTTTAATTATCGCGCACAGCAGAAGTACTTGAGAGACAGATATCAAGTAAAACAGGAAACTATGGGAATAATAAAACGTTAATATTTACTCAGACAAAGAAGGCGTTGCATTTATGTTACCACTCAACTTTCAACCAGTATAAAGAGTGAAGTATTAAGTAACGGGTTAATGTAACGTTTAAGAAATTAGCAAAAGGCAGTAACGTATCTGAATGAAAGATGAGCTACTTACCTGTCAGTTGAGAAGAGTTGGAAGCTGTTGAGATTGAAGGAAGAGCTTTCAGTAATGAAAGGAAGCTTGGAAGAAAAAGTCTATCATGCTCAAGTAACATGAAGCTACGATGAACTGCAGCTTCAGGTAGTAAAAAGTATAAGCATTCGAATGCGATGGCAATGCTTTGCAGGTCGACGGCTTATACCGAGAGCCAGAAAGTCAGAAAAGTACGAAGTTGATGATGATTTTCTTCATTGTGTAGAAGGTCAAATTAAGAGAAGTAACTGAAGGAAAAAGAATGTTAAATTCTGAGTTTAACAAGAATTAAATATCACTACAAATGTAACTTAAATATATCAACCAACAAAATTAATTGTACGGAAACGTCAGTTAAAACTTGTACGGTATGATTTGAGGTTTTCACAGCGGGTGAGTATGAAGATTTCTGTCTTCTGGGTTGTTGCGCTGTGTAGTCTGATATTCGCCCTGATGACGGAGGCAGTATGACGTCTGAAACGTTGGTTAACATCGACCATACTACACAGCGCAACAACCCAGAAGACAGAAATCTTCAACTTATAAGGTAATTAAATTATCTGATAAGTGTAAGGATTTAAGTGGTTAGGATAGGCCTACCATATTTCAGATTACACAGAAAATGAAGTACAATAAAAAGTAGGGTTTGAGGTTTTCACGGCGGTGAGTTTGAAAATGGCTGTCTTCCGGATTGTTGTTCCGTGTAATCTTGTAGAAATTTACCGAAGTTTCAGACGTCCTTGATAAGTGAGGCAGCAAGAACCTCCGAAACGTCGGTAAACTTCTACCGGACTACACGGCTCAATAACTCGGAAGGCATCCATTTTATAATTACAAACTAACTCCAAGGAGAAGAGTCTTTATATAAAAGCTTGATGTCCATTACACTGTTTACAAAAGCCTGTTACTGGACATTTTTCTGAGTCAGTTTAACTTATTCCACACTCACGTGCCACTTCACTTTAAACAGACCGAATATCCATGAATAATTGTGAATAAGATTTATATTGTTTACTAAGTCGTAAAACATTGACTGCTCCATTGAAGAACTCTAACTTGTGAAACTAAATTCCATGCGATTACTATAAAGTAAAATACACTTTCTTTCAGATATCAACTTGATTAAAACATTTCTCCAGTTGGTGCAAGTGTTGAAGAAACTTGTTTCGGAGAAGAGTTCTCGAAAGGACACTTCCCTTACGTAAGAATCTAACAAAAACGTTTCAAGACGCTGGTACTGAAAGCATGAGGAGTCATAAATTCCAGACATTTAAGGCTAAGAATTCTACGATTACTACTCCAAAGCAGACAGAGAGAAGCCGAGATCCCAGACAAAGTATTTCAAACATCCACGTTCTAATGGCAAACCATTAACTATCAAAATTTCCTTTTATACGTATAATTTCTATACCGCAATAAAGCGGTATTAGAGACTTCTGCTCAAAAGAGAAAACTGGAAACCCTTCCTTTGATCACTCGAGGGAAATACGTGAGAAAATACCGTACTTCTGCCCCCTCTCCTGTTGTGTCAGGGGGTAGCGCTAATTCCAACACTGCCCCTCCCCAATCTGTTTACTTCTTCAAAATATGTCTGGTTATTTATCACTGTTACTCACCTATCGTCATCCATTAAGTCACTTTGTTTCTTTAAGTAGTTAATTTGAAAACAAATCCGGGGTTTCTACGTAATTATAGCGGCACATCTTCAAAAGAAAGCGGTCTGTCTTATGAAAGTAGATGACTATAATTAACACCAGTAGCACTAGAGTTGATAATATAAAATCGAATATTTAAAACCTTTTTCACTTCGCGACACATGGAACAGAAAAGAATGTCAGTTACAATCATGCCCTTAATATATGAAGTAAAATCTACCTATAAGCCAAGCTTGATTGATAATCATTCAATGGCCTTCTATGTACATGCACTTCTACAGAGCGCAACAGAAAGATGTATAAGTGTTAACTCTTTGTAGATTTCGTAATTAAAGCGAGGATAAGTAAGAAATACAAGTTTTATATGGAGCTTTGTCACACTTATCAATAAAAATGTTTTAAATACTACTTTTAAATTATCTCGCCATTCTTGTGCAATTTTCTAGTCAGATCCAATTTTACAAAACTGTAACGATTTTAAATACTACTTTTAAATTTTCTCGCCATTCTTAACGTGCAATTTTCTAATCAGATCCAATTTTACAAAACTGTAACGCATTTGGGGGTCAGACATAAATAAATTCAGGGGCACATTCATTAGCAACTCAAATACTGACGAAAAAATAAAGAGAGAACACAATTTATCTACTCTGTTATAACTACCAGAGAAAAAAAAACAATCTGTGCAATCTATAAAAAAATACGCAGATAGTATATAATTTATATAACAATAAAATCTCCGGAATAAATTATTGCTAACAAGTGAATCACGTGAGTAATTATAATAATAAGAGCAGATAAAATTATCGCTAATAGAAAAATTACGAATATGTGCCATTTATATTACCTGAACTTTATTTATTGTTCAATATCCAAGTCTCATATACAAAACTGAACAGTTATTTAGAATTGATTTCTATGGCATCAGAACATAACAATGCCTCTCTGTGTAACTACAGCAACATGGATGGGTGTTACTAATTGAAAACATCAATTAGCACTTCACAGCTGTCCATGATATTGACAGCTGATACTTATGTATCCCATTGGGCGTGACTGTAATGTAATTGTTGCTGTAATAACCAGCACATTCTCTTCAGGACTGATAAAAGAGAGTTCGCTTATCTGCCACGATAACTTAACGAGCATTATATGATGTAGCTAAGGAGAAAGAAGTGTACTGTTCCCTTTACGGAACTGTTTTCATGGTTATTATTTCAATTCAATTCAATTCAATTAATTTATTTACGTGTTTGCCAACAGCAAGAAGCCAATAACAGGCAAACACTGATAATATATACAATAATAGTGAAATAAAAATTAAAAATCTTACACAAACGGATTAACTAAACTTATAAATATACAGTATTAAATATAACTGCCAAGTACAGGCAAACCCAAAATAGAAACAATATTAACACAGAGCAAAAAATGAAGGAATATAAATAAAAACAAAATAATCCACGTAGGGAACACTAATATAATTGTAAAACTTTAAAAAATATAAAAAGACAGATAACCAAGCTAGATCATTTCCCTTGTTGAGAACGTTCGCTCAAGGGAGACAATGTTTGTGCTAAATACGTCCAAAGATTTACATACGTCATTTGCAGCGATGACGCACCTGGCTGAAGGACTATGCCTTAGTGCCCTGCTCACACTAAAAGTAGAAAATTCTCTTATTTGCCTCGCCGGCACACGTAAACCAACAGCGTCCATAATGGGATGGCAATTTATTTTGCCCTTAAATACATTAATAAGAAATAACGCATCGAGATGTCGTCGTCTGGAATAAAGTGTTCTAAAATTTAAAGTAGATAGGATCAGTTCATATTTTCGGGGGATATTAAACTGGAAAAATCGGTAATTGCATAAACTGGCAAATTTTCTTTGAATATTTTCTAATTTATTAGAATCTGTCTGTGTAAGATTATTCCAAACGACCGAGGCATACTCAAGCTTTGACCTAATTAAAGCATTATATAAAACAACAAGGCTGTAACATTAATCTAAATAAAAGACAAAACAGTTAGTAGCCATTTCTTGCACCGAAATTATTATTTAAATAATGTTATATTATTATTAAACCACATAATTTTTACATCTTATTAAGATAATTTTTAGAAAACGATTTTTAGTTCTAGGATATTCTACTCTATGCTGAAAATATAAAAAATATGTCTATAATTTTATAAATAACATAATATCATTCAGTAAATTCCAACAAGTTAATATATATGAAAAAAACCCAAATAATTTAGATGTAATTCATAATTTCCCATAGTCTCTTCAGACGATTTCTGAAGCAGTACCTTCATACAGACGATGATGAACGTCTTCCAAATCCTTACCTTCTCAATATGTACAACTGTTCTTGATAGACTCTTTATAAGAACTTAACGTGAGAAGACCAATGACAAATTAAAATCTCAATAAATACATCTAAGATAAATTATTCAGTCCTTATTAACATTTGTGTCTGAATTATAACATATTCTAACAGTAAACTCATCGGCCTTGCTCTCTTCGAAGCGAATTTCTCCTTTCATAGGCAGATTTAATGGAAGGCAAATACCTTTCCTAGTTTTTCTTTAGATTTTGCATTTACATATAAAAAAAATTACACCAAGTTCAGCATTACAACAGATATGTGTTTCCGACTGCAAAGGGGGGGGGGCATTTGAACCAACGTGTAGGCGTGGTTTTCTTTTCAGAAACTCCTACAATTAGAACATCCGAATATAAACTACCCATCTTCACCGAGACTGCTACAGAGAGCCCATTGTTTTAAATTCAAACACAACAGTTTATGTGTCAGCAGCGTGGGACTGAAATGGTAATACCAGGTTAACAATACGTGAGTAGCGAACAGCTCCACAAGTAGGCTAACAAGTTCCCGGTATTGAAAGTAAATAAGTATCTCTGACGTCATATTCACTGACAATTGAAGACACATACAGAAAGGTACAAGAGACATTTTATATTTTTCTATCTTAAAATTCAGCAACGACGATGGAGACATTTTTTTCGAAATGGTGGTGTCTAACTGCAAGTCCACGTGACGTTCAACATCAAAAATACTCCTTAGAAATTTTGCATTTTCGAACACATTTAGCCCCTTCCTTCTATTTACGTTACTAATTTTGTCTCAACTGACATCACCTTGACATTCGAATCAATGAATCCAATAGTCTAAAGCTACGCTGTCCGATGGTAACAACGGGTAACGTTCTCCGTCTGACGCACGAGATTAATTACGAAAGGAGAGTACCAACTGCTGCATAATGTAATGCGCTTCTCATATGCAAACTGTCAGCAAAGACTGATACTTCGATTGTTTGACCAACTGGATCTCCGCCGGTCAGACAGCTTGTACTCCAGATAAGCTGAATTACTCATTAAGTTAGTAATTACATTTCTACTTTTTCCAGAACAATGTCGTTGATAGATTATGATTGATGAATCAGATAACTGATTAGCTGTGAGTGCTCATGATAAGGTGATGATGAAACTATATGACAAACATTCGCTGAACATCGTCACTGAACACTGATAATCACTGGGCACACGAACGGGCTTCAATTTAAAAGTGT